AATGTTCTTCACTGGGTGAATGGAAGCCAGTGGTGGTATTTTCCCACAGTGGAATTCTAAACAGAAAGGAACGCTGATACGCTCAGCAGCATGGATACATCTTCAGTAAATACCAAGTAAGAGAAGCCAGACACAAAAGAATACTTATGACGTGATTCCATTTGTATCGACTTCTGAAAGTCCCAGAGTCTATAGTGACCACAAGTGGGTGATTGTCGGGGGGCAGTGGCGGGTGCAGCGGGAGCAAGGACCGCGGGGGACCAAGGACTGCAGACTTCTGTGAGCTGCTGTGGGGCAGCTCCAGGTGTATACACGGGCAAGACTGTCACACTGTAGACTTTAAGTTTGTGCAGCCTATTAACAATCAGTGATACCTATAAAAGGCCACGGCGCCACATTACACACTCAAGGATAAATGGTGAGTCCGTCTACACTGCCGCACGGGGCCATCAGAGCTCTCACTGAGCACCTGCTCCCCTGGCCCAGCCCCTCCTCCCACACAGCCCCGGGGCCTCTGCGCCCCTTTGACCTCAGGCGCCAGCCTCCTGGGTTGTGTCAATTATGCCGTGCCTGTCACCCAGTAGAAGCAGCCCCTGAGGCAGGACGTCTACACAGCCTGCATTCCACAGAGCCCCACCGGCCTAAAATCACACAGGGTCAGAATCTAATGTAAGGGGGGTTTATTCAAAGGTGGTTGGAGGCTGGCCCACCCGGAGACACCAACTCCAGAGGAATGGAGTCCGCCCTCGGAAGCAGGCAGGGGAAGGGTGCCCTCGGGCAGGTAGAGGCTGAGGGGCTTTTAGCAGGATCGCGGCGTCCTTCCTACGAGGTGGGCGCAGTCACAGTGTTTGAGGGTGACGGGCAGTGCCTGTTTCGGGGAAGGGTACGTTTAACCCGTCAGAGGATGTGGCAGTCACGGCTTCCTGTCTTCTGGTCTAAGCAGTGCAGAAAACAGGGGAAGTTCATCTACAAGGGTCATGAACCAAGAAGGCTGGAGGTTTCTGCCCCTGGCGTTGGTTAATTCTCTCCAGTCATTGTGCAGAACAAGGAAACAGCGCATTAGTCCCTGGCCTGAGAAAGGGGAGCTGCAAGTGCACGTCAGGGGTGCAGTCCCATCTCTCCCGGGGCATGAGGCACGGTCCTGTCTCATGGGGCTTACTGTGCCCAGACTGTGTTCATGTTCACACCTGGGAGGAGGGGAAGCGGGCATGGTCTGTGCGGCAGGTCCAGCCGATCCACAGGGCCTTGGATGAGGCGTCTCTGCAGCTGAGGCTGGCCCTGCCAGGACTGACCCCAAGGCTGTGGCTAAATTGGGCTCCCAGCGCTGGCCCTGTGTCCTCTGTAAGGGGATCTGCACCCTAGATCTACGCATGGACTGTCCCCACCTCTAGGCCCCACACTCAGCCCCCTTCAGCCTGTGTGTCCTCAGGGCACCTTCACTCCATCCACCTGGATCTCCCCATCTTAGTGACCGTCTCCACTGTGGGTGCCGAGACCCTCTCTGCTTCCGTAGCTATGCGTCAGGGCCACTGTGTGAGCTGGGAGTCGGTGCAGGGAACTGGAGAAGGGAGGGAGTTCTGGGGAGGGGCCATGAACTGGAGAAGGGAGGGAGTTCTGGGGAGGGAGCCATTACTAACAGGGAAGCCCCAGGAGGAGGGACCACCATGGAGCGAGGACTGAGTGCGGGAAGGAGGGTGTTCTGGGCCCGGGCAGGGCGGGAGTCTCGGGGAGGAGAAGTGCTGGGGGCTTTTACCCTCAGGGCCTGTGGCAGTTGGAGGGTGTGGATGAGGCCTTAGACTGAACTCTGAGAGAATGGGACCGTGGAGAGTTGTCTTGAGCGGGGAGGAGAGAGGGGGCTCTGTGTTGCTTTTTGGAGGCGTCCCTGGCACCTGTGACAGCAGGGGCTGGAGGGTGGGGCAGGATTTGGGGGCAGTGGGGGTGGAAGAGGGGGCAGAAAAGCTCAGATTGTGCCTCACATGGCGGGTGGGGGCTGCTGGGTTTGTTAATGCATGCGATGGGGTAGGCCAGGAGTCGTGCTGGTCACATATGTCAAATGTGGGTGTCTGAAATCCCCGTGGCCACAGCTCTAGGCTCATCCCCTGGGATCTGGGGTGCAGAGTGTGTTCTGGCCTGAGACACATCTGGGAGTGGTGGTCCACAGACCCCCTGGGCAAGTGCAGACAGTAGGGAGGAGGTGGGGACCCCGGGTGTAGATGTGGGGCAGGGGGAGGCAGGTGGGGACCCTGGGTATAGACGAGAAGGGAGGCAGGTGAGGGCCTTGGGTACAGTTGGGGCAGGGGGAGGCAGGTGAGGGCCCCGGGTATAGACAGGAAGGGAGGCAGGTGAGGACCCCGGGTATAGACAGGAAGGGAGGCAGGTGAGGGCCCTGGGTATAGACAGGAAGGGAGGCAGGTGAGGGCCCCGGGTGCAGACGGGGACGGGGATGAGGCGGTTGGGGGCCCAGGCCCTCACGGGATGACTGTGCCTGTCTCTTCTTCCCCTCCCATTGCATGGGCTAAAATGTGCTAAATCTCCAGCACTGGACGGGACAGAGGGAGGGACCTGGATGGACCAGAGCTCTGCCTGTTTCTGGAACACAGTGTGGGGAGGGGTGGACAAGCCTCAGAACGGGCTCCATTCTGAGGAACGGCCAGTCGCATGGGGCCTTGGATGCCCGTGGTCACAGCGTGGGCTGCTGCAGGCTCCACTTCAGCCCTTCATTTCCTGGTAGCCACCAAACTGCCCCATGGACTCTGGGCAGATGGCCAGTGTTAGCTGGGAAGGACAGCAGCAGCCGCAGAGGTGGCAGCAAGGCCAGGGCACTTTGCAGACGGCATGGACGGGCAGGTGCCCGGGGACAGCCAGAGAGCAGCTGACACCTCGTTCACCCTGGCCTTCCAAGTGGTCTGCAACTCTGGGAGCTGCTAACTGGAGCAGGGTAGGTCCTCTAGGGTCCTGGGCACTGAGTCCCAGGTGACCCGCACTGCACAGGACGGCCCCTCACTCATGCTGCCCTTGCAATGAAGAGAGGCGCTGGCTGCAGCTCGCTGGCCTGTGTGACTGATAGAGGCTGACAGCCTGGAGCCCCAAGCACCCCTGGCAGGAGCTGACCCACTTTCCCTTCCCTCGGCTGGAAACCTTGACATAACAGATGGCTGCAGGGCCCTGCTGTCCCTCTGATAGGGAGGAGAGTTTTTAATTAAAAAGGAGGCACGGAGCTCCAGAGCAGCCACACCGAGATCCAGTCCATGTGTGCTGGTCCGTCGGTACCCACAGGTGAAAGGCTGCAGCCGGGCTTATCTCAGGGTGCCCGTGTGCGCACAGAGGTGCTTATTGGGCCACGCCATGCATTGGAACTGATACTCTTCTCTCCTTTCTGAGACCTTTCTACACGAACGCACTACTTACAATGAGTCACCGAAGCAATGGCATGAGCTGTGCTGTCCAGCAGAGCTGTCCGTGGTGCCAGAAACGGCTTCTCTGCTTTTCCCCCGGCAGCCGCCGCTGCCCACACAAGACTGTTTGGCACTTTAAATGTGCTTGTGGATGTTTAGTTTTAAACTGAAAAAGCCACATGTGGCCGATGTGCCACACAGTGAAGCGAGAGCATTCGTATGCAAGGATGATCTTCAGGACCCTTTGTGCTACGTGAAGTCCTCGTTAAATGCAACGTGAAAATCCTTGTCCTTCAAAGTGTCATTTTATTACAAATAATAATGTAATAAAATTATAAATTAATACAAATAATATTACAGATAACAATTTGTAATAAAATTACAGTAATTTTGTGAGTCTGAGTGTGTTGATGAAGTGACCTATACATGCGTTTTTAAGCACAGTAAGCATGGGTGTAGACAGCGTAAGCGCAGGTGTAGACAGCGAGTCACTTTGTCAGTGCAGAGGTGCATCCGTGGCTGTGGCTCCACCCCGACACCTGTGGCTGCTGTTTGCAGATCCTCCTTACACACCACACAGGCAGTTGGAATGGGCTTTGCCTCTGTGTTGTCTTTGTGTTTTTCTTTTAGCATATTTTTAACAGAACTATTTTATTGAGAAAAAAGCCCTTTGTCCCATCTTTTAACCCATAGCCTCTTCTGTGTGAACCGGTTGAATCAAAGGGCAGTGTCCAGGCAGCTCGATTATGGTGGGGGGTGCGGCTTCACAGGGTTCTGTTCCTGGTGGATTTTGCGAGGCAGCCCCCCTGGGTGAGGTGTTGCCCTTCAGGGAAGGACTCGGTGTGGAACTGACTCTGCAGAGCCCAGTTCCTCGGAGCAGGGTCCCCACCGTGCCGCGCAAAGTCGCCCTGACCGTCGCACGAGCTCCTCACCTTCACTACTATCATTCTTTGCTGGTCAATCATAAAATGAGGCCTTAATTTTGCCCAGTGGGCTCCGTCAGTTCACTGAACGACAGTGCACAGCAGTGACACGATGACTGCAGACAGCGCTGTGTGCGTGGAAGGCACTTGCCGAGAACTGCCAGGGACACCAGCTGTTTGGCAGCTTAGTTGACAGAGACTAAGTCACATGAGAGCATGAGGGGATGAGGATGGCAGGCTCGGGATGTGAAGGGCCGGCTCCCACACCCTGGCGAGGGGACTCCGGCACCCCGCAACCGTGTGTTGAGGCCACAGCAGAAGCAAGGGGGCAGAGCTGCAGGGCGCTGGGCCTATGAGATGCGAGTCCCCAGGGCCTCACAGGGGTAGCTCCTGCCAGTCTCTGGCTGCTGAGAGAGGTGCTCCTATGAGCCTGGGCAGATGCAGACCTTGGCCAGGAGCTGCGGTGGCCTGCCCAGTGTCAGGAGGGAGGTAGCCGTGGGGCCTCCCTGGAGACCTCTCCCAAGGCCCTCCCCTGAACTCCTGCATACCCTGTGCCAAGCATGTGAGGCCTGGTCAGCACGTGGCGGGTGGGCAACCCCTTCCTACTGCCACCCAGGAGGCCCCTGGATGTGCATGGGCCATGAGACTCTTCTCTAGCAGCAGCTGTGCCTTCTCTCTCCAGGTGACGCCTTCTGGGCCCCATCTGTCCTTCCTCACAGCACCCTCAGCGCCTTAAGCCACCACCCCCAGCCACAATTTGGCAGAAGGATGGAGTCCAAGGTCTCAGAAGGTGGCCTGAACGTGACCCTTACCATCCGCCTGCTGATGCATGGAAAGGTAAGAGGAGCCACCATTGGCACTGTAGGAAAGGCAGCCGCAGCAGACAGAACCTGATACTGCCTGGGTCTTTGGATCATTTTTTAATCTTATTTTAAGCAATCTCAAACTTACAAAGCAGTTATAGGTACAGCCCCTTTGAGACTCAGTGCCAACCTGATACCTCCTGCGTGTTTCCTACCAACAGGGACCTTCTCCAACACAGCCACACACAGCCATCCGTGTCAGGGCACCCACACGGATGCATTCCTACCACTGGCTTCCTTCATAGCGGCCGCACGGCATCCCCTGGTGCCGTCTCGAGTCCCTTCCACCTGGAGTAGGTGGTTGGCTTTGACTCTGCGGTTGACACTTTGCAGTGTGTGCGGAGTACCTGTGCCTTGGTCTAGGTCTCCTGGCCGTTGGCAGGAACACAGCAGCAGCTCTGCCCTGGGGTGTGCCTGTTGACCACTCGCAGGAAACTCCTCAGACTTTCAGAGCATGTTTCTATCCTCTGGGAGTCGGGTTGCTATGTTCTTCCCCGGCTCATCCTTCCGTGACCACGTGATTTGCTCCGATGCCCTCGCTGCCCTGCTTTGGCCAGAACCCCAAGGTCTGACGAGTCCCTGTTCCTACAGCCCCATCCTGCTCTCTGCTCATCTTGTCCTCCTTGTCCCAGGCCTGGAACCAGCCACTCCCTCAGTAGCTCCTGTATGTGGTGGCATGTTCTGGAAGCCAGGGCGCGTGGTGCTCCTGGGCTGCTGTGGGTCCCGGGCTGCACCTCCGCAGAGCGCTTCCTTCCATGTTCAACTCCCTATATGGAACCCCAGTTCCAGCCCCACAGCACAGGGTCCACCAGTTCTTCCTGCCTCAGGTGTGCACCATGAGGAATCCAGCTGCCAGTATCTGTGTGTGGCCTCCCTCCAGGAGGAGGCTGGCGGAGGCTCTGGGCTCTAGCCCCACAGCACTGGCACATCCTAGGTTTCCAGAAGACAGCCTCCTCCTGAGGGAAGGTGGTGGTGCCCACACCCAGAGCGTTCATTCCTGCAGTGGAGACAGACGGACCTGCCTCTCCGACTGTGGGTGTCAGGAGCCAAGGCCCCACAGTAGATGAGGCTCTGTGAGGCCAGGTGCACAGCCCTATCTCCAGCAGCAGTGGCCATGCCACCCAGCTGTACTCTGTGGGGGAGGTGCCCTGGTTGACAGGGGCCCCTCCTTGTGTCCAGTGTCCCTCTCCCTCCACAGACCCCTCTGCACGCCATCCTCACGGCCTCCCTCTCCCTCCACGGACCCCTCTGCACACCGTCCTCACGGCCTCCCTCTGCCTCCACGGACCCCTCTGCACGCCGTCCTCACGGCCTCCCTCTGCCTCCACGGACCCCTCTGCACGCTGTCCTCACGGCCTCCCTCTGCCTCCACGGACCCCTCTGCACGCTGTCCTCACAGCCTCCCTCTGCCTCCACGGACCCCTCTGCACACCATCCTCATGGCCTCCCTCTCCCTCCACAGACCCCTCTGCACACCGTCCTCACGGCCTCCCTCTGCCTCCATGGCCCCCTCTGCACGCTGTCCTCACAGCCTCACAGAGTCACCATTGCTGGCCCTGCTTCAGGTGACAGGCCACAGTAGCACCTGTCAGCTCCGTCCCGCTGCTGGACAGGGAGATACTGGGCCACTCAGCACAGCAGGGAGTGTGTGTCCCAAAACCACCTCGGGCTCACCGTCAGAACTGTGGCAGCATCTTCCAGCATTCCTTTTAACAGGCTGCCTTTTAAATAGCAGTCATGGAGCACTAGCAGTGCTAAGTTTTATTTGAGTCACACAATTGAAGGAGGCTTTATTTTTCACGCATTTCTTCCAGGGTTTCCTGGCAGCCTGAGTGCGTAGGTGATGCCCCCTGAGTTATTTATCGGGGGCAGGCAGCTGCCCTCCCCCGGGGCACTTCGAGTCAGCCCATCTCTGGCCTGGTCAGGTGGGTGCCAAGGAAGCCCCGGCTCAGGGCCTCTGTATAGGCAGCCTGGCTTGTACACACACCCACCCTGCCCCCACCACCGGCAGATTCTGAATTCTCCCTTCTTCACTCACACAGGGAAGGTAGGCAGGTTTCGGCAATGTCTGCCTCCGGGGTTTTCCTCCTCCTGCTCTATGACATCATCTTTCTGTGATTTTTTTCCTGCAGGAAGTTGGAAGCATCATTGGGAAGGTAATTATTGATTGAATCTCTGCCTGTCTTGGGGTCTCTGTAAGGGGATGGTGAGGATGGCAGCCTCCTTGGGTGCTAGGTGGCACCCAGCAGGTGCACCTTTCCCAGTAGGTTGGTGGTCTGTGTTCCATGAAGTCAGGACCCCAGAGGTGTCACCTTTATGCTGCGTGACATTGAAGCTGGTCCCTGGCTCTGTGCAGACTGAGGGGAAAGGGTTCTCCCCAGCTGGTCGCCTCGCTGCCCCCTGCCCGTGGCCTTAGTGGCCAGCCCTTCTTTCCCAGTTGAAGACCCCACAAAGAATGATTTCTCACGCGTTCTTCAGACTGCTGTGTAATCTGGGTGGTCTCCAGGAGTGCCGGTGGAGGCAGCAGCCCCCAGACACTTCCTTTCCAAATCAGGGCTGGCCCAGGGGAAATAAGGCCCAGTTTGGAAGTCTGCTGCCCCAGGAGGCTGAGCAGTGAGGGCCACCTCCCCGTCTTTGTCACATTTTCACCACCTCCGGGGGTCCTGTGTCCTTCCCCTCAGTCTCACCATGGGGGCGCCTCTAGTAGGTCATTGTCCCGGCTTCCTCCCAAGCGCTTGAGAGGGTGCGTCTCCGAGAGTCACCACCTCCGGGAGGGCGAGCCAGAGCGCAGCCGGCCGTGGGGGGCACCTGAGGGCACACACACTGCCACGTGCCACGAGTGAGCTGCCATGGGAAGTCAGGTCAGACCTGCACCACCCTTGCCAGCTGTGTGCCCGTAGGTGGGTGCACTTGCCTTCCTGGGCCTCAGTTTCCCATCCGAAATGTCCGCCAGGGCGTGGTGGGCATGAAGCCTGGCCTTAGTGGAGAGGCTGGTTTGCTCCTCCAGCGCAGGTGGGAGGCTCTGCGGTGTGGGCACATGGGCCAGGCCGCTCCCCACCCACCCTGGCCGCATTGTCCTCAGTGCCAAAGGGACACCTTTTCCTTATTGTCTAAATCTTTATTCCAGAAAGGAGAAACTGTGAAGAAGATGCGTGAGGAGGTGAGTGTGGTGGGTCCTGACCTGTCTGCAGCCATTCCCGGGTGAGCAGGGAGGGTCCCCAGGCTCTGCCCCTGCTGACATCCTGCCTGTGCTCTCGGCCGGGGCCTGTGGGGAGTGCAGTGCAGGGCCTCTTTCCCCCTACTCGGGCCTCCTGTGCTTCCCTGTGGGGAAGGAATCCGTTGAATTCCTTTTGCTAATTAAAATTTCCTTGTAAAGGAGATTGTTGAGAAGCATTTTACTGTTCATTCGTGGTTTGCCAGTCAGCGGACAGAGGCATGTGTTTGTGTCAATTGTCAACGGACTTTGGCCCCCGGCCCACTGGCCCAAGGGTTTCTCTGCTCTCACCCTAGAGTGGTGCGAGGATCAACATCTCAGAGGGAAACTGCCCAGAGAGGATTGTGACCATCACAGGCCCCACAGACGCCATCTTCAAGGCCTTTGCCATGATCGCATACAAGTTTGAGGAGGTAACCTGCATCCCGGGGAACCTTGGCCAGCCTGGCGGGGGTGGGCATGGTCCCAGCTGGCTCCCTGGGCCTTCTCCCTTGTACCTGGACTAGGGGATGCCCCAGCCCGCCCAGGCAGCCCCATAACCACACTCACCTCCTTTACCTCCCAGGGCCTCTCCCCAGCTCTGGTTCACCCAGTCAGGGGCCAGTGTCCCTCTGTCCTTCTGAAGCCAGCTACTCCCGGCTATGTGCCTTAAGTCCACCTCCCTCAGCTTCCCCAGACCCTGCGCTGGGGCACCTAGCATGGCCTCAGAACACCCTACCCTTCCCCCCGGGGCATGCAGCCTGGCTGACCCTCAGGCCCCACCAGCACCTCCAGCCTCCAGCCAGCTCTGCCACATGGCTCGTGACGAAGCCCTGGCTGGCACAGCCCTGGTCCTCAGCCACACAGCACCATGCCTCTGGGCCCCCCATGAGAGCTGATGTAGCCTGGCTTAGATATGGATGGTAAAGGTAGAGACCATCCATGTTGGTGGTTATGAGACAGAGAGAGACAGAGACAGAGAGAGAGAAACAGAGGGAGAGAGGCAGAGGGAGACACAGAGAGAGAGAGAGAGAGAAACAGAGACAAGAGAGACAGAGAGACAGACAGAGACAGAGAGAGAGACAGAGCGAGGGGGAGAGAGAAAGAAAGAGCAGCACTTCTGTGTATTCTGTCATTGAGTGAAATTATAATGTCTTCTATGTGTTTCTAATTTTCTTGAAATTGCTGGAAGTTAGAGATGCATTTAGTGTCTTTGAGGGGTTACCATTAAGTAATGAGGTGCACTTTGTGGGAATAAGCGAAGAGCCCTCCAAGGGAGAATGGGCAGAGGCTCTTTAGTATTCAAAGCTGGCCATGGTGGTGGTCGGTGCCATCTTCTGTGCTGGGCAGAGACTCAAAGTCAGGCAGGAGGGGGAACTTCGGTGTGGGAGAGGAGAGGAGGGATGTGCCCTGGGGGAGGCAGTGGGGCTAGAAGTGGGACATCCCATGTGACTGGTTGGGGGAGCGTGGGAGGCCTTTTCCAGTGGGTCCTGAGTTGGAACTGGGGACGCACATGAGGGAAGCTGACTGCTCAGGGCCGAGTGCAGCAGAGGCTGTGGCCTGGCCTCCAGGGCTGGACGCTGCAGACACTGGGGCCAGTGCTCCCCTATCATAGGTGGCCTAGCCACTGTCTGGAGGTTGTTTCTTAGTTTCCCCTTTTAGCTACTCTCTCATTTGCAAGAGGATAGCCAGTTCAGGAAAGGCGAGAGAGCCAGGTCACGCTGCTTGGGGATGGTTCAGTTGCCTTTTTGGTCAGCTGTGCTGCGGGGTCCTCGGGATCTTTCTGTTGCTGAGTCATCCTGGCCATTGCCTGATGGGAGACTGATGGAATGCAGCAGACCAGCATCGTGACACCAAGACAGAAACAAGAACAACCGAGTCCCTGGACAGTGGTGAGACCAAGAGCGCTGTTACCCAACCCAAGGCAAGAGGACACATCCCATAGCCATGAGGGCCAGCCTTGGAGAGCCTCGTGGCCGCTCCTTAGGGTGCTGGGCAGCCCACTCCTGGAACCTTCGCTCTACAGGTGGCATGTGCAGTGGCACAGACGCCAGCATGGCTGGCCAGCAAGAAACCTGCAGAAAAGCAATTACCCACCGCTGCTTATGCCAACACATCTTCCACCCAGGGCAGGCGGTGTCCCGAATAACTTCTGCCGGAGTTGGCGATGCGTTTCTGACCGCAGTTTCTGCCTGTGTGATTCCCACTGTGGGAGACACTCAGTCATCCCTCCCACAGGGCACACACATAATCACAGGTGGCCTGGTTTTGGAACTGAAGTTTGAGTCAGAATTTCCAGCTGTGGAGATTATAGAATTAGGGTCTCTATGTACAAAGAAGTCTCAGGATACCTTTCCTAAGGTGTCTGAGTTATTCATCTGAGGCCAGCAGGGCCTGGTGACTGGCCCCAAGGAAGCAGTGTCTGGTGGAGGCATATGGAGACCGGGGAAGGGCTGTGGCTCAGGCCAAGAGGTTAGAACCGAGGCCTGTGCCCTCCAGCTTCAGTTGGGACCTGTCTTTGTTTCTCCCGTTAAACACTGTGGCCAGTGTTTAACGGCTGGTTGCCCTATGCAGGTTGCTGAATTTAAGTTTCAAATGACCTGGGGACTGATCAGTAAACTTTAATAATTGGGTTGCTTTTCTAGGAGAAAGGGATGCTAGCAAAGTCACAGGTGATTTGTTTAGAGTCAGTTGTCCATGTAGATGCAAGCGGAAAGCATCAGCTGTCATCCCCCAGGGTCCCATTTGATGAAATTGGCATGTCTTGAGATTTTCCTCCCTGGGGCCTGGTGGTGGGCGGTGTGTCCAGTAGTCAGTGAGAGTGAGGGCAGTGGTTACTGTTTGGGATAATCAAGAATGGCATTAGAATGAATATGTGTTAAGCTAACAATTATCATAAAGTGAAAAAATAGAAAAGGGACCAGAGGTGGATGACAACCAGGGGCCCGTGGAGAATGAGAGGGAGAGTGATTAAATGTAAGCAGATGAAAAAGGAAACAAATCAGACAGAGGTCTTGTCAGGACATCTGAGCAGAAACTGGCCTTTGTCCAAGGTCTTCAGCTTGCAGGAAGGTCTCAGATCAGCCATCTGTTTCTGAAGAATGGCTGCCTCTAGAGGATCTCAGAGAACCTCAGTTTGAGGTCCTGTATGGGAGTCATTCTCTGGTTGTGTGGAATTCTGAATCGCCACTTTGGCTGTGAAATGTGAACCCAAGGACTGATTCCTTGGAGTTTCACTGCTGGGTTTGTTAGCAGTACCTGGTAAGGCCCCTTCCAATGAGGTTAGAGAAACAGATTTTCTCTGATGTCCCTTCCAATAGACAAAATCTCCTGGTTGAAGAACCTAAGGAGGATGTTTGGGAAGATGTCGTGGGAAGCAGCCGTAACCTACGCGATTACGTAGGTTACGTAGGGCTGTGCTGAGTCCTCTGCAGTCATTTGCCATCTCTGCCTGCAGCAGGACAGAATCGAGTATCAGGAATCCCTGAAGGTACGAGCCCTCCAGTCATCAGTCCATGGAGGGAGAGCTGAGGTGTCTCCAAGCGAGCAGACTGTATGGCCAAGAAAGCTCAAAGGATTCGGAGTTTTCATCTTTGGGTCCTTCGGTTTTTCCAGAAGACTGTGGATGGTCAGGACAGTGTTGTTCTTGAGTAAAGGGTAACCACTCACAGAGTTCTGTTTAATGGTTTGTGTAAAATGTATTTCTCAATCACTTCATGTAAAAGTTGGTATGCTTCAGCTTGGAAATACAAAATCAAGGAATTTTTTTTAGCAACTTTAAGGACTATAGCTTTTAAACAAGGAAATGCTTCAACCCATCCTGAAAACAGACACACAACAATGAAAGCATTTCCAGTCCCAGGTGGACGCTGGTTAAAATCTACCTGAAGGTGTTCAGAGGGCCCTTGAGGCGTCACTCTGGGGCGTCGTCTCACCCTCACACCATGTCGGGTTGTGCTGTTGACAGATACCTGGCCTTCGAAGAACCTCAGCAGTCTTTGTAAAGCTTCCCACCAGTGCTGATTGGAGATACTCATCAATTTGTCTACGGCATGATGAGGAGTGTCATGGATTGACTTAGCTAATACCCATTTGAAATCATCTGGTACCAAAGCCAGCTGTCTTGAGGGCACCAGAAAAGATTGAGTAAAGGGTACAACCAGAATTTTCAGAATTTGTCCATTCTTCCTTTTCAAAATCAGGGGCGAAGTGTTGAAATCTTACAATGGCCTCTTTGCTTGCCTCCAGAGATCCAGCCTTCAAGGCTTGGCTGGAGTCAGCCGTGGCTAAAGCACTGGTTGGCCAGAATGACCCCCCAGAGCACCTTCCCCAACGTCCGCATCTCCATCTGCACTGGCCTCGCGTCTGCAGTCACCACCTCTCTAAGAAGAAGTGTGCCTGAGAACTCAGCACGCGGCCCATGTTGGGTGGGCTTCCAGCAGAGCTAAAAGCCCCTCTGTTTCCAGAGCATCCACTGCCACGGGCCCTTGGCTAGTTGACAAGTGCCGGCGAGTGTGATGAGTTCTGTATCTGGCAGACTTTCCCCACCACAGGGGACTGTGCCGAAGGAGAGCCAGGTTAGCAGCAGCACACTGTCCCAGCCTGCTTGGGCTGCCATTGCAAAATGCCACAGCTGGGCGGCTTACACAGCAGACGCTGGTTCTCTCACAGTCCAGGAGGCTGGAAGTCTCAGATCAAGGTGCCATCAGGGCCGGTTCCTCTGAGGCCTCTTTCTTTGACTTGGAGACGCCACCTTCTTCCTGGGTCCTCACAGGGTCACCCCTCTGTGTGTGTCAGTATCCTCGTCCCTTCTTCTTACAAGGACACGAGTCAGATTACATTAGGTTCTACTGTAGGCACCCCATTTTACCTTAGTTACCTCTGTAAAGCCCCATCTCTAAACACAGTCACACAGAGGATCAGAGTTTCAGTGGATGAACTTGGTCCGGTTCTGTAGCACAGGCCCTGCCTGATCACCTCCAGCTTCACTTGTGAAGTAGGACATTAGGCTGGGGTTCTCAGCAGGAGTCTGCTAAGGCTGCAGGTGGGTGGGGTCCCTCCACAGGCTTCCTTGTCTTGAACAAAGGAGGGCGTCACCAGGACTGAACTGAATTGCTAGGGAGATTTAGGTCTTCTAGGTCTTAATGAGCACCTGGAAAAAGCAGGAGAGGGCGTCAGTGACCCCCAGGGCGTGACTGTCCAGGTTAATCATTGTGCTTCCCAGTGAGGGCAAAACATGCTCACTCTCCTGGTCTAGCGGCAGCCCTGGAGGAACAGCGTGAACACCCGCCACCACGAAGCAAGTGGCTTTGGGAAGAATGGACAGCGAAGTTGTGTTTCGGTTCAGTACACCTAGGAAGTAAGGGAGAATAATTTTGTTGGTGGCCCTGAGGTCTTCAGCAGATCAGTATCTCTGTCTGTTTGGTATCAGTAGTTTGAGCCCTTCTTTTGGATTTGGGGTCACGGGATTGTGGAGAATTTCGGGTCGTGTTTTGGTGGAACCTCTCGGAGCCTTTGGAGGCTCCGCCCCAGTCATTTTGCCTGTGTTAGTGGGATTGTGTCAGGTGCAGCGTCAAGACCCTTGTCTGGAGTCTGCACCCACCTCATGAGGCGGGGGTCTGCCCAGAGCCCACACAGCTTGCCAGTGGGCTGAGTTCTCTAGGAGCTCAGGAAACAGTGTCTCTGATGTGCATTTAAGATGCCATTCCATTTTCAAGCAAAGTCTCTGCCTACTAAATTTTCAGGGGTGGAGTCCCAGAGCAGGAATGAATGTTTTCCAGTCAAGGGCCCAAGGGTTAGAGTTCAGGGCTGGGAAATAGGGAGAGAAAACACGGCGGGTTATTTGAAACGCCTTCCAGGGTGTGGTGTATCTAAACTGAGGAGGAGGATTACATGAGACCTTTCTGCAGGTCGGATGTAAGAACAGTCGCCACAGCCACCAGGAGGACGAGGAAGACCACCTGCGTCCAGCATTAGTCACTCTGAGGGCTGAAGGCCAGGTGGGATGCCGGCCGCCCGTTCCTTCGTCGGGCTCCCTCACTGCCTGGACCCAGGATCTTTCTGTGTCTCAGTTGTTATTTATGGGGATGGGATCATCTTTTCTCTGACGTCCGTTCTGAGTGCAGCAGCTATAATGAGCGTCCTTGTCCGGCGCTGGGGCTGGTGAGGGGCGCCTAGCTCTCTGATCTGCAGGAATCCTGGCTCATTTTTGTTCCAGAGCTTTTTCAGTGTGTTCTGCCAGTGGCTGTCATTCAGCAGAAGGGCTATTCCCATCCCCATTTCTGTTTTCACGTGGGGCTTCACTCCACTGACCTCATGGGGCGACAGGGCTGCCCTCACGCCAGCGCTGACCTCATGGGGCGACAGGGCTGCCCTCACGCCAGCCTTGAAGGGTAGAGACAGTCGGGGTTGTCAGAAGGGACTTTCTGTCTGTCCCCAAATCTCCAGTTGTTTCATCTTACAGCTGTGTGTGTGATTGTTCTAATCAGTTCCTACTGGGGATGTTTTAGGAGTGGCATTTAGGACTTTGCTGTGGGACCTTTTTTGATCCTCGGGTTTATTTGTTGACAGAGTTCAGGTAACTCTGGGTCATGTGCAACCAAAATTCTAAATTCTTCTGTTGGTCATTGCAGGTCTGGTCTGGGTGTAGGGAATCCATAAGTACAGCTCTGAATTCAGCTGCAATCCAAGGGTTAGCTTCTGGAGTTGCCTATTCACCTGGTTTTTGGGGGGTTGGGTTTTTACAGACAGCTGGCATTTGGGGGTTTTAGGAGGGCTGGAAAAGATAGAGGTGGAGTCGATGGAGGAACTGGAAGGGAAGGACAGGGCAGGGGGAGTGCTGGGCAGGGGCAGTGGGAGGAAAAGGAGGGGAGAGCTTATGAGCCTGGGGGTCTGGTTTGTTGCTGATGTCTGCCAGGTTGCTGACTAGCTTTAGCCAAAGAATGTTTAGTGAAGCTATTTTTAAATCAGAACTTCATTTGGAGTCCTCTTCATACCAATCAAAAAACGCTGCCCATTGGGCCTGAAAAAATCTTATTATCTTTCTTTTTTAAGGTGCCTTTCAATGAACAATTTTGTTAAAGTCAAATGTTCCCCAGGGCAGCCACTGAGGCCCAGTCATCCTTGGGGAATTGAAACCACTGGAGAAACAGGCACCCGAGTCCAGGTTGCAATGAGTCCATTCAAGAGTTTTCCTGGGAGAGGAGGGATGGAGACATGGCCCCATGAGAGCGGGTGGCAGGAAGTGGGAATTCAGTGCCCATGCCTCAGGTCCCCAGCCTTGACACACAGAGGCTCTCCCCAGCCCCAGCAGGTACAACACCGGAGAGAACGCTCTGGGTCAAAGTCAAGCTCCCAGCACAAAAAATAGACAAACGGGAACAACCATCCTATTTTCTTGGTAGTCTATAGCAGTTTGTCCAGGCACACACTGACCCAGGCCTTGTTTCTAAGAAGAGGGCACTTTTTGTGGAGACCAAATTGTGTTGCCCTGAATCATAGCTCAGGCATGATGGACCCAGAGCTGGCGGGTATCCTGGGGGAGCCTCCGTGTCACTGCCTCTGCCAAGCTCTTTACCGCGCTCTGCAGCAAGCTCCAGGCCACAGCCTGGACACTTCCCATGCAGCTGATGGAAGCCCTGTCCCCCATGGGTTACCAGCCTGAACCCAAAGCCCAGCTCCGTCTCCTGGGTGTCAGGACCATGAGCCAAACACCAGCTGCCCAGGAGGGTGGGCACTGGCTCACCCCCACCTCAGCCTTTGCTGCCCCCTCACACTTCTACGTTAACCACACGTCTCCTTCCCCAGACCAGACCCCAGGAGCCATTCTCTGCCCCCATGCCCTCGACACCTAGTTGTGGCCTGTCCCTGGCAGCGCTGCCTCACCTGGCCCTGGGCATCTACCCAGCCCCGCTAGTCTCCAGCCTCCATTCTCCCCTCCACTTAGGCCAGTGTCTACACTTCCTGTGTCAGCCTGTCTATCCACACCCCCTGCCCACCAGGTCTCCACGACCAAGGCCAGACCTGCCCCAACCCCACTATGGCACAGTGACCATCCTGCCTTGCCGTCTGTGTGCCGTGTTGGGCCTGCACGTCCATCTCAGCAGCATCTCCCGGTCCTCCCTGGCCTGGCCTGGCCACTGTGTCCTCGGCTATGCACGGGAGGGGCTCTGTGGGCTTCTGAGCGTGGGAAGTCAGGACGCACCCCCTGCACTCCTCCTGCTTTCTCACTGTGTGAGGCCTGATGTGCTGCCAACACACGTGTCTCTCCCCTAGGATATCATCAACTCCATGAGCAACAGCCCTGCCACCAGCAAGCCCCCAGTGACGCTGAGGCTGGTGGTGCCTGCCAGCCAGTGCGGGTCCCTGATCGGCAAAGGAGGCTCCAAGATCAAGGAGATCAGGGAGGTAACAGGACCTTCCCAGCCTGGGCCGCTGCAGAGCCTCTAGGCAGGCTGCGGGTGGTGGCCACAGGCCAGGCAGCCTTCCTGAGCCTCATCCCTGCAGTCCGTAAGCCCAGTGCTGGCCACGCAGACCCCACAGCTCCAAGTCCAAAACAGGAACACAGGACCCATGAGCAAGTGCAAGTGTGCTGCAGGGACCCGGCCCCACCACAGCCCTCCCACCCACAGCCCCCCCACCCACTGCCCACCTATGGACCCCCCCCCCACTGCCCACCTATGGACCCCCCACCCACTGCTCACCTATGGATCCTGCCTACCAACTACACACCTATGGGCCATGCTGGGGACAGGGAGGAACTAGCTGGTCTCATGGCTCTGGGCAAGGGAGGCTCTGGGCGCTGGGCGCTGTATCTGCTCCCTGTGAGGGGCCTCCATGGCACCTGGAGACAGCCCTGAGCCATCGGCCTGTCCCAATGGGCGGAGTTTGCAGGTGTGAACTTCACATTCACACATTTGTCCCGTTTCAAGGAGAGCCTGAATCCTTTCCCTGTGCAGCAGGGCAGCTGTCCCAATCTTCATTTCCTTTCCCAAGACCAGAGTCCACCTTTCTCTGTGACCTAAAACTCCACAGAGAGAGAATTCCATGTATTTGAAAGGAGTCATTTGTCTCCCTGAAAATGCGTCTGTTTAGATGCCTCCTGTCTAGCCTTGGCCAGGTGTCACTTGCACCCGAGGGAAGGCACAGGGCCAGGTGCCAGGCTGTGGTGGCAGCAGCGGCACGGGGGCGGTGCTGGGATGGGGGCGGGGGAGGGGGCATGTGACAGTGCCAGGCTGGTGACAGGGGTGCTGGGGGGGGGCAGTGGTGCGGCTGGTGGCTGGGGTGGTGCTGGGATGGGGGCGGTGCTGGGATGGGGGCAGGGGGGGCACGTGACTGAGTGCCAGGCTGTGGTGGCAGGGGTGGTGCTGGGATGGGGGCGGTGCTGGGATGGGGGCGGGGGAGGGGCGCGTGGGCTGTATGCAGGTTTCTAAGGAAGTGTTCTCAAGCTGCCTTGGGTGCCGAGACCCGGGAGGTGCTGCTGCCCCACGTGCTGCCACCCTGGTGCTCCTTTCCAACGTCCCCTCTCTCCAGTCCACAGGTGCCCAGGTGCAGGTGGCCGGGGACATGCTGCCCAACTCCACGGAGCGGGCAGTGACCATCTCGGGGACCCCAGATGCCATCATCCAGTGTGTCAAGCAGATCTGTGTGGTCATGCTGGAGGTACCGTCTGCATGCCAGGGCCAGCCCACGTCAGTGCTGTGTTTGGCCTCCTGGCACTGTAGGCAAAGGCTTGGAAGCCCTGGCTGCCCCAAGGACTCACACAGTTGGGGCTGTGGAGGGCTCCTGACCTGGGCTTCCAAGGCAGCCTGAGCGAGAGCTGTGTCGGTGTGGGTGCCATGGGGTGCTGGGGCTGCCAGCTCAGGGTCCAGTGTCTTCATGGGGCTTCTAGGGGAGAGCAGATGGAGAGGAGGGAGCCTGTGCTCTCATCTTCAGAGTTGGATAAGAAGTTGTCATCCCCCTGAGGGGTCTTCGGCAGAGTTGGAGCTGCAGGAATGGTGCTCAGTACGCTGGAGCCAGGCCTTGGCCGGCAGCTGGGGGTGGGAGGGAGGCAAAGGCAGTAGGCTGCTCTGCTCACGCAGTTCTGCAGAAGGAGGCGTCGTTTTAAACCACCGTGGAGGAACAGAGGGCGGAACTCGGGAAAACATACGAAACCCATGCAGAAGTAGAGATGGGTGAACAAAAGCATTAAAACGGAAAAGCAGAGAAGGACCGGCTCAGAGCAGACGCCTCTCGTGAAATTTTGGGGGGAGGAAAAAAATCTCGGAAATATACTCAAAATTCATGAAGCTATCAACAGTTGCCAGTCTTTCCTGAAGCAAAAATGAAGAAGCATCACCCCAAATGGAAGGTTCTAGCAGCTCTGCAGGGTCAGCCTCCAGCCCCTCCTGCAGCCCAGGCTCACTCCTCTCTCATACTTGGCTTGGGGTTCAAACCCCGTGTTTGCCTCTTTAAAAAATGTTTGTGTAGTTGTTTCCCTGAAGTTTGATATTTTGTGAAGTCAAAAATATTTTTCAAAATATTCTTGTTCTGAAATAGTCCCCACTCCCTGGTTAGGGTGACAGTGCCATGCTGGTCGGAACTCTCTGTTCAACCCTCCAGTCTCAGGCCCTGGGGGCCCTGCCGGCCGAGGCTTAGCAGCAGCCAGTGACACGAACAGTTCTAGGAGGGACATCCCTAATGGAGGGCTGAGGTCCAGCTCCTCAGCAACACGTGGGTCTCGTCAGTGCCACCCAGTGCCTCTGCAACTGCGTCCTGGTGCAGTGCCAGCTGCAGCTCCACAGATGCAGGTGCACCTGCTGTCCCAAGGCTGCCCACGCCCCCAGGGCTGTCATCCCAACCACCTTGTCTCCTTCCTGGGCAGGGAGGTTTGAGCAAGACAGGGAGCTCATAGCATACGTGGCCAGGGAAGATGGCCGGGCAGCTGCCCTCACTCTTGCTGGCTGTGCAGCATCCCGAGGCCCAGGGGCCATCATCCCAGGGAGGAAGATTTGTCACACCTGGAAAGAGCTGGGTCCGCCCTCAGATGAAGAGTGACTGGAAAAATAAATCAAGGATGCCTTGAAGACCCTCCTGGTTGATTGCAGGACTTCTGGGCTTGGTAGTGGGCATGCCTCACCTCACACCCGGGAGATGACGGAGGAAAGGGCTGCCCAGGGTGCCATGAGTCTGGGTGGGGCCCGCCGAGAATACAGACATCGCCACAGATGGTGCCCTGCCCACCCAGGGCCCAGCACCCCTGCACCCAGTGCAGGGAGGCTTGTGCGGTCCCAGGGGAGGCCAGCAGGCCCCGTGCCCACCCAAGAAGCGGGAATCACAGGTCAGGGTCAGCTGGGAGCTCCTGTGCCGGGGTAGGGGTTGAGGGCCCATAGCACGGGGCACCGGCCCGAGGGGAGTCAGGGAGGGTGGCGGCGGCTCCCGTCCACCTTAGTCAGTTCCTCCCACCCCAGACCCAACCTGAGTCAGCCCAGACCCGCCTAGCATCCCCTTCCCCACAGTACTTGAGGCCACACCCCAGGACCCTGGCCTTGCGGATCCAGCCACCCACTCCCCATCATGGGGTTTTGAGTCGCTCCCTGAGTGCCGGGCTGGCCCTGAGTCAGCCAAGGCCCTAGAACTCCCAGCAGGACAGGCTGCCCCCTGCCAGGAACGGCTCATAGGCTCCAGCCCCCACCTCTCCCTGCTGGACCAAACCCAGCTGTGGTGCCCCCTAGACCCAGGACTCCTACCTCCCTGACCTGGGCCCAGGGGACGGTCACACAGGGGACTGGCCCAGGAGAAGCAGGGCAGGCTCAAAATGCCAGCGCTTGAGAATGTTAATCCTCTGTTTCCGACAGAATAACCAAGGGAAATTACGGCCAACCTCATCATAACTATGGGATTTTTCCTTTGGAGTCTGTAAGCACTTTAAACATGCTTTTTCAAATAGTGAAGTGGGATGTTTCCAAGTCTTCTGTGGAGATCTCTGCTGACTATCACCACAGGCCAAGCCAAGCGCTTTGGACATGGGTCCCAGTGGAGTCCTGCAGGGCTCAACTTTCTTCAGAGCATTCAAGAGAATTGCTCCAAGGGGCAGCTCCCCGTGAAGCCGTGCAGCCTGGCCTGCAAGGCCCTGCGCATCCCAGGAGGGGCCTCCGCGGAGGGGCCAGCACCACAGGGGCCGTCTGGGTTGGCAGCCAGCCCTTGTCCAGCAGGGTCTCATGCTCAAGGGACCCACCCCACCTGGCCTCCCACAATGGGACTGACCCTCCACACTGCCACAGAGCCTCCCAGGGATGTTTGGGGCAGGTGGTACTCTCAGGAGGCCGGTATGTGGCAAACTGCAGCCCAGGGCTCTGCAAAAAGGAGCCAGCTGGAGGGACGGGCCGTAAGACAGCCACACAGAGGGTGTGGGGGCTGGAGGTCTTCACTCCCCTCCCCCAGCACTGCTGCGAAACTCAGGGAGGTGTGGGGAGGGTGGAGCCGGTGCAGGGGGGTGAGTGGGGTGGGCCGGGACGCGCCTCTCCATTACCGGGCTGCGAAGCTGCTCTAACGCTCTCTCTCCCTCTCCTGTCCCTTTTCCTAGTCCCCACCGAAAGGTGCCACCATTCCCTACCGCCCAAAGCCCGCCTCCACCCCTGTCATTTTTGCAGGTGGTCAGGTAAGAGCCGATCCGCTCGCGGCCTCCACTGCCAACCTCAGCCTTTTACTGCAGCACCCGCCGCTGCCCGTTAGTGCACTCAGGTTTTCTCGCCTTCTCACGTGCACGTCTCCCACCCGTGCTGGAGGCAGAGCTCTTCCACCTACACCCAGCACCAGGCGGGCGCAGGGGGCCTTCAGAGCGGCATCCCCCCACAGAGACGGCCCCAGGGGATCATGTTCTCCCTCCCTGACCCAGGCAGGAATATTTGGCTCGGCCTAAATCCAGTTCTTGGGAACTGGGTGTTTTTAGGAAGCTTAGATAGCCAGCATGCAGGCGCCTTCTAGGTGACTTTACCGCTCACGCTAGAAACAGCACGGTGAGAGCCAGGGTCTTGTATCCCCTGACATCCCAAACTCCCAGGATGTGCTCGTAGCAGGGACACGCGAGAGGGGGGAGCTCTGCACCGAGGAAGGACGCGTGGCCCGACCAGCGGGTGTCTGTGCCGCTGTGCCCAGACCTCCCTCCGCTGTGAGCAGGGGCCTCGTGGGCACCCCACGCCCAGTCTGCAGAGCTGGCCCTTTTGGTGTCAGCCCTCGAGCTTTGTGTTCTCCCACCAGGGATGGCAGCACCTCTGTAGGAGAGTGGAGGAGGGGAGCCCTGCCCCAGCCGCTCATCTGAGCCCAAACCCTGGCCAGGGCATGGGGAGCACCCGTCCACCCAGGGCCACTCTGTGGCCAACAGACCAAAGGTGTCCAGCGGGGGTTGGCCTGGAAGAGCTCTGCGTCCAGTCGGCTGCCATGTATGTCTTTGTTCAAGGGAGAGTTGAGACAGACGTCCCCACAGGTGACCCTGGCAGGGCAGAACGGGCCTGAGGTTTGACTTTACCATCAAAAAGGAGAGAAGAGGCAAATGTTAGGACTTTTCCTGGTGCTTTTCTTTATGGTGTAAAGGAATCTTATCAGATCTCCCAGTTGTGGCCCACGTTTGAGGGAGAGACGGAGTGTGTCCATCCTTTCCCTCCAAGGGATCCCGTGTGCTCAGGGCAGGGCATGCCTTTCCCCCACGCTGGCCTCGCCTCCACAGCCTGGCACACACCCCTTCCTGCCTTGCTGTGGTCAGGGAGCACCCACATGCACGTACTATCCTTACAGCAGCCCCAGGACACGGCACACCTCCATTTTATAACCAGGAAACTGGGCCCGGCTAGTCAGGGATTTGCCTTGTGTCACAGCCCTATGGGCAGTGGGACATGTCCTTACCTCGCTGACTTAGGGGGCTCAGGTCACAGGGCCACACGGAGTCACACAGCGGGAGAAGTCCCTGTGCAAAACTCCATTTCACTGCTTTCCCCAAATTCATGGTTAGGTAACCGGGTTAGTAACCTGTGGACTCCACCTTGATGTTTAAACAAATCCATGATGATATCATGTGGTAAAAGGTAGGATTTTTTTCAAAAGGAAGGTGTATTTATACAAACACATGTGGAGTCACTTAAAGCCACTGGGGGTGGAGTCACAGCTCCAGGAGAGGAGGGGTGCAGCTGAGCCCTGCTCAGCCACTGGCCAGGCACCCCTCACTCCTGTAAAGAGAGCAGTGCCCACCCTCCCGACTGCAGCAGGTGAAGGGCCCTGTGCAGTGGGTGCTGTCCCAAGGCTGATACTAAAATGTCAGCCCTTTAGAGCTGGGCCCTGGGGCCCTAGTGACAGTCTGGTCTGGCCAGTGGTCAGCCTTGGTGGTGGAGGACAGAGTCGCAGGGAGTTACCCGCCCTGAGGTAACCCAGGGGAGCTGCTGAAATGCAAACCCAGAAGTGTGGGCACGAATAAGACCTGAGCCTGTAAGGCCACTGGCGTCTCCTTGACAACTCAGACCCACAGGGCCTAGATTAGGACACACAACCCAATACGGACCTGAGAGCTCACCTGGAGGCCGTCCACTTCCTGAGAGAGCTCACCTGGAGGCCCATCCACTTCATTTCTGTCCAGTTGGAGAAATCAGGGACCTGGAAGATGCCCCACCACTGTGAGTGCTCTGGGGGTGCCCACACAGCTCTCCTGTGGCCTCTGCACCCAGCAGCAGCTCCTGTCAGCCACCACCGCGTTTCTAGCACAACATGGTCATGAGTTCAATCAGCAGAGCCTGCTAAGGGATGAGCAGATAGAAAACATAACAACAGTAAGAAGATCAGTCAGAAAACTCGTGTGGCCCAGGATGCAGGATGCTTGAACTCTTGCTGTTCAGCTCAGACAGTCGGGGCTGACCTGGGACCCTGTGCCCTGAGGGGGCAGCTCCCAGCATGAGTTCCATGGCCCCTCACCTTCAGTGACACGTGGGAACGTGCCCCTGGCAACACGGGCCCCTCACCTTCGGTGACATGTGGGAATGTGCCCCTGGCAGCATGGGCCCCTCACCTTCAGTGACACATGGGAACATGCTCCTGGCAACACGGGCCCCTCACCTTCGGTGACATGTGGGAATGTGCCCCTGGCAGCACGGGCCCCTCACCTTCAGTGACACATGGGAACATGCTCCTGGCAGCACGGGCCCCTCACCTTCGGTGACACATGGGAACATGTTCCTGGCAACACGGGCCCCTCACCTTCGGTGACACGTGGGAACATGCCCCTGGCAACACGGGCCCCTCACCTTCGGTGACACGTGGGAACATGCCCCTGGCAACACGGGCCCCTCACCTTCGGTGACACGTGGGAACATGCCCCTGGCAACACGGGCCCCTCACCTTCGGTGACACGTGGGAATATGCCCCTGGCAGCACGGGCCCCTCACCTTCGGTGACACGTGGGAACGTGCCCCTGGCAACACGGGCCCCTCACCTTCGGTGACACGTGGGAACGTGCCCCTGGCAACACGGGCCTCTCACCTTCGGTGACATGTGGGAACGTGCCCCTGGCAGCACCTTTACAAAACCCTCGCAGTTGGTCCTCAAGACACTGTCCAGGACAGTGAGGCCCTTGGTTCCTGCTCTACCTGATAAGATTCTTTTACTTCCTCAGCCAATGCAGCACTGTGGCCTCACAGCCCTGGGGCTTGTTTCAGAGCCGGGCTGCAGGCCGGGTCCCTGTCTGGAGGTCGATTGGCCTTTAACTCGCAGGATTGGGTTATTTATGATGAAAACTCTTGGCAGATTCAAAACCCATGGGAGGGTTTGGGCTGCACAGAGGTGACATGCATCCTTCCCTGAGGCATCCCTCTCAGGTGCACGGGGACCCCACGTGTGGCCACCGCAGACACTGACACCATGGGGCCCGCACAGTCAGGGGCGTCCCTCTCAGGTGCACCGGGGCCCCACATGTGGTCACCGTGGACACCGACACCACAGGTCCTCAGGCGAAGTGGCGTGGGGCCCACACAGCCAGGAGCTGGGAGCCGCTCCCTCCACCCCCAGGCCGCCACCGGGCCTGGTGCAGCCCCGTCCACGTCCCAAGTCCTGACAGCTGTTCATGGTCTTCACTCTCCCTTGATTCTGTGTGGTCCATTTGTTGTCTGGCCATGAGTTTCTGAATCACCTGAAAGCGTCTCCACTGATGGGACCTGTGGGGCAAGTGGGGCAATTGGGGCCTCGCTCACCTGCCCGGATTTCAGAGTCAGGGTGGGTGGGAAGAGGCTGCAGGTCGGAGTCACTGTTTTGAAGGCAGGGGAAATACTGAACCCAAAGTGAGGCCTCAGGAGCCCCACACGACGGCTTTGGAGGGGCGCATTGCCGCCCCCACATCAGGGCCACCCCCTCCCCGCCGCCCCCACGTCAGGAGGGCCGCCCCCTCCCTGTCTTCAGGGCGGTCATGAAAGGCAGCAAGCCGTGACTGACGTAGACCGCTTCCTACGTAGACTGGCTTTTGGTGAATTGCTTTTGGTCACCTTTTAGAGCTTTCTTTTGTTGTTTGAATTTCTTGGGATTAATATTTCCCAAAAGTGTTTACTCAGTTGGCTGATTACATTTTCAAAACCTTAGTAACTAGTGGACCTCTTACTGGGGGCCAGACACATAACTCTTTGATTCTTTTGCTTTAAGAAACTTGGTGTCGGAAGCATCAAAGCTGAACTGTTTCCCTCCCGCCCCCTGAACTGGCCAGCTCAGCTCTGCCCGCCCAGAGCAAGTGGGCACGGTTCCCCTGGTTTCCCTCCCGCTCGCTGAACTGGCCAGCTCAGCTCTGCCTGCCTAGAGGAAGTGGGTTCGGCTCCCCTGGGGCTCCTGGTGCCCTGGGAGGGTTGGCCTTTTGTCCTAGGATGGAGACAGGTGGAGAGGCATATGAGGGGAAGCTTCTACCGGAGTGTCCTTGTCATGCTGGAGGGTGGCGGCGGGTGCTGAGCCGCGGTGCAGCCAGGTCACGGTCTGACAGGGTCTCTCTCTCTACTTCTCTCTAGGCCTACACAATCCAGGGACAGTATGCCATCCCTCACCCGGATGTGAGTCTTCACTTTGTCTTCCTCTCACCTTTCTCTTCTCATGGTTGTTTACCTACCTGCATGCTGCTGTTAATTGCTACTAACATTAATATTACACAATAATATTAATCAACTTCTCAGCGTTCCTGACCTGTGTCGTATCCATATGACCTCAAATAACCTTTTAACCTCTTAGCACTAATTCTGCTTGTGTTGAGGACTTGGCCTGATGTCAAATTGTCTCGATTCTGCCGCAGTCCTGGGTTTTCCTCCCTCCCACCGGGCCTGGGAGGGAACTGAGACGGGCTCTGTCCCCGTGCAGGGCGGTGAGGATGCGCTCACCGCCACAGGCAGGTGTCAATGGCACTTTCTGTACCTCTAAGAAGTTGGGCGACATTATCAAACAGGCCACAAAGATACCTTGGCAAGGACATTTGAGGGCCTGGTGAAATTAACTCTCCCCTTTCAGAGTCCACATGGAAATGTAGGGTCCATCTACGCACAGAGATTCGGGCTGTGGAAAGCCAGTGGAACAGGCCTTTGTCTTCATTCCAGAGTCAGTGGGATGCATCAGTGTCCTTGGCCCGGGCCATGCAGAGCTGGGTACCATGCGGCTCCGTGACTGGTGGCTCCGACACCTCTCTCCTGCTCCTGCTGGGTCTAGGTTTAATTCCAGTGATGGAGGAAGAAGACACCCTCAGATAAACTGTTGGAGGGGAACCCTGGGCTGCTCTGGGCTGTGCGGCTCTGAGCCCTTAGGGGCCAAGAGATAAAAGGTGCAAACTGTGAGGAAAGGGCCTCTCTGGAGGCGGCTTTAGGGCCCCAGGGAGTGAGGGCTGCACTGGTAGGCGCTGGGGAGAGGAGAGACGGCCCCACTGGAAGTGCTTCGTTTGTCAGCAGATGGGGCAGACCTGGAGTTGGTTCTGAGGAGGTTTCTCTTCTCTAAACCATTTTGAATGGTTGCCCAGCTCAGCAGCTGCTCCTCGTAACACATTTCCGGGCCGTTCGCTGTTCCCTGTGAACTGCGAGAGGCACCTCTGAGCTGGATGGGAGGCGGCCACCAGGTGAGCGGGCTGCTCAGGAGCCTTCAAACCCTGATGCTTTTGAGTTGGGGGCAGGGACGTCCATCTGAGTGAGATGAGAAGGCAGGTCAGGAGTGTTTTTAAGAGTTAACGATCATTAAGTAAGTCTGCTATAGAGATGCAATTTACTATCATTGCAGGAAAATTTATATTGAATGGAGAATAGATAACAATAGTTATTCCATTAAAGGCAACACATGAATCAAATGGTAGAGAAACGCTGATCAAGAAAAGCCTTTCACCACCTGCCCCAGAGGCCATTGTTAGTGGTTCCTGGCTTCAGACTTTTGGTGATGCTGCTGTAGCTACATCAAGGACGTCTCATCCTGGGGTCAGCTGTAGACACCAGTGCCTGTCCCCACCAGGAAGCCGGGCTGTGGCCACCACACGCCGGAAGGCACTGTTGGGGCCACCCAGCAGCAGTGTTGGGCAGAAGCAGAGGTGTTTGTGCGTGTGTGTGGCAGGGGCGCGGGGCAGGTGTGATGCCTCCTAACGGAAAGCCTGTGTGAAGGAAAATGAAGATGGAAGCCAGGGGAGTCAGAGCTGACTTTCTGGGATGGCCCAGTTCCATTTCAGACTCAGGACAGGTGGTCATGCACATCTAGAGATACACGTGTGCAGAGGCAGGTTCCAGACGGGGCGGGGGGCTGCTTGACTTTGCAAAGCTCTGGAACCCAAAGGAAAGGCAATGTGTGGCACCCATGGTAAAGGGAAGGTTAGTCGATGGGGTCAGGGTTTGTCTTTCCCCAGACAGTAACCCTGAAGTTGGATGATCAGACCTGCAGGGACCCTCTGGTGACACCTTAAGGGTTTCCTGTGGCCACAGAGCCAAACGTTCTCACCGCGGCCTTTGGCTGAGCACCCGTCTGAGCCAGAATGCTTATGGTCTGAAATTCTCAGAGGCTGTGGCTGTGTGCACACGGTGGGACCGCAGGACCCTGATGTGTGGCTATTGGCGTTTACATCGATCGGTGACTTTGCTCTTTCTCATGTGACTGTCTCAGTGTCTCTTATAAATGGGTAGTTGTGCAGATTGTTTCAAATTAGTTTAAACTAATATATAACTAACTGTTAAGTGAACTGCCTCAGTGCATATGGTAATGATTTGAGATACCTGGTGCTATGGTTTAAATGTGTCTGTTCTTCCACAATTTCTGTGTTGGAACCTAATCACCAAGATGATGGTATTAGAGGGTGGGGGGTCCCAGGGCTGGGGAGTGATTGGGTCATGAGAGCTCCACCCTCGTGAACAGCATTGGTCCCTATAACAGAGGCTTCATTTAACAGAGGCTTCAGAGAGTGGCCTCCCCTCCATCCCTCCTGCCATGTGAGGACAAGAGCGTTCAGGCACCATATTGAAAGCAGAGACTGGGCCCTTCCTATACACCCAACCAGCCAGCACTTTGATCTCCAGTTTCCAGCCCCCGTAACTGTGAGACACATTTATGCTGTTTCTGAATTGCCCAGTCTAAGGCATTTTGTCATAGCAGCAGGAGTGGACTAAAGCACTTGGTTCTCTCCTGTGAAATAGCTCTCTGTGGAAGACATTCTGTTTCTACATCTGTGTCGTGAGATTTGCAGAGCATTAATAGAAGACTGGAAGCTTCCATAGTGCTTTTGTTGCAGGCACGTAAAATTGAAGACTTGGACAATCACTTAATAATTCATTAAACACAAAAATAAAATGATTATTTAGTGACATATGTAACAGGAAGCAATTTTTATCTGAGCTTGGTATTTAGTAGAAATCTTTAAAGCTTCAATTTCTTACAATATCAATATAATTATAGAATATATAGTTTTAATTTATAATATAATTGAATACAAAGTTTATTTATACCACAGTGGCGGCTTATGGACAGATACTAGAGTCATTTTTTAGCAATGTGATATTTGACCTGGACATGTGGGCCCATGAATAAGAAACATCAAGCGTAAGATAATACATTCCTTAGATTTGAGTCTTTCTTTATGTAAAACTAAAATATGCATGTGTTTTCTGTGCCCAATTTAAAAAGTGTTTTTAGCTTGTTTTTATTTAAGAATCATTGGGGCTAGGCATGGTGGCTTAGGCTGGGTGTGGTGGCTCAAGCCCGTAATCCCAGCCCTTTGGGAGGCTGAGGCAGGTGGATCACTTGAGCTCAGGAGTTTGAGACAAGCCTGGCCAACATGGCAAGACCCCGTCTCTAACAAAACTACAAAAAAATTTAGCCGGATGTGGTGGCACACGCTTGTAGTCCCAACTACTCGGGAGACTGAGGCGAGAGGATTGCTTGAGCCCGGGAGGTGGAGGTTGCAGTGAGCCAAGATCATCCCACTGCACTCCAGCCTGGGCCAGAGAGTGAGACCCCATTTCAAAAAAAAAAAAAAGGAGTAATTGGCACTGATCTGCCTTTGCCCACTTTTCTCCAGCTCCTCGCATGCCACGTACATCGTTGTACCCACATGCTCCTCGAGGCTTATTGTGCTCTGGATGTGCAGGTTTTGAAGAGGCTCAAAGCCACGCTACAGGGGGAAGGACTTTGGAGGACTGCAGTCAGGCTCTCCAGTGTGGCCACTCGTCAGCCCTGGAGGATATCCATATGACTGTGTGTCCTGCCTGGGTCAGGCCAAGTGCAGTTTCAGAAACGAGAAAGAGAAACAGCACCTGAGACCTGGGACCTCAGAGCAGAGCCCAGAGCGCCCACGCCTGGACAGACCGCTTGACTCTCACCCAGCACATCTGCACCTTTAATTACAGCAGGGAAGTTACACCAGGAAGGAACTGGTTTTTCTGGAAGAAATGAGTGAACTTCAAAAATACCCTCGTAGGCCAGGTACAGTAACTGTCTCCTGTGATCCCAGCACTTTGAGAGGCCAAGATGGGAGGATTGCTTGAGCCCAGGAGTTCGAGACCAGCTTGGACAAAAGAGCAAGACCCCATCTCTACAAAAAAATACAAAAATTAGCTGGTTGTGGTGGCACACACCTGTAGGCCCAGCTACTCAGGAGGCTGAGGTGGGGCGGTTACCTGAGCCCCGGAGGTCGAGACTGTAGTGAGCAGAGATTGCTCCACCGCACTCCAGCCTGGGTGACAGAGCAAGACTCTATCTCAAAAAAGAAAAAATACCATCATATATACGAATCTTTATTTCTAGTCTTCCAGGTCTCCTAACCACTCCCTTACTTAACGTCCCCATCATTTAAAGGGGATTTTGAAAACAAGCAAAGATAAAAACATGTTAGAGTTGACGAAGAATTTGCCATGTAGGCTATTTTAGATGAGCCTTGCACCAACCCTGTGAAGCAGATCTCGGGACCGTGGGGCCAGTTCCACATACAAGCAAGTGGAAGCTCTGAGAGGTGCCTTGGCCAGAGCTAAGGAGCCAGGGAATGGGAGGGCTTGGCACAGCCGCCCAGGCAGCTGAAATGAGCAGCAGATGTGCAGCAATGCTGGGAATCAAGTGGACACCAGTATCTGCTAAGAAGCTGGTTCTTCAGTGAAAGAGTCGTGGGGAAATTGTAGAAACATGTCGTCGTAAGAGGAACCCAGGGATAGGAGGCATGGCCAGATCTGTTGCTGGGTGCAGCCCTTCATCCCAGCTGTGCAATCCCCGGGACTCTGTTGGTGCCATGCATTTTCCCTGGACACATGAAGAGCGCACGTGGACTCTCGTGACAATCTCGTGTACCTGCAGAGGTTTGGACAGATTGTTGCAGAGTGCTTTCTCCTCCCACTTGTTCTGTGTCTCCCTCTAGAACCCTGTAGGGAGGTGGGTGAGGGGCCCCCTCACTGTAGAGAGAGAGTAGTCAGTGCCGCGTGCCCTGGGCACCTGCTGAGAGGTCCAGCCTCTCTTGCTCTGAAGCCTGACACCTTCCAAGACCCTGCGGCTGCAAGTGGTGCAGAGACTTGCCCATGGCCCCACCTGCTGTCAGAGCTGTGCTACTGCAGCCACTCCT